CAATATTTGACCTAAATACTACACTATGGGTACTCCTTTCTGCTCTATATCAAGCACTTAACTCCCCAGGACCACAAGGTGATTATCCCAGGGCCCAGAGTCCTATTCAGCTGATCCCGTTTGGAGCCAGGTCTACTGTAGTGGACCCCCAGATGCGGCACCCCCCATCACGGAGTCATCCGTTCCGAGCTTCTTTCCATCCACAGCTGGAGGGACCTTTGGTGTATATGACACAAATGCGCAATTAAATTGTGCGTCTGGTGAGTGTGCAATTTACTCATTTTTATGCACGACGCCGGACTATATCTATCACGGGGATCCTATCAAGTTATTCTCAATTCATCCGTGGCTTTTTCACCACTAGATTCTAAGCAACTTTGCACCATTTGTTCTATATATATTGGTGCAGTTATATATATAGTTTTTAGCGCTGCACTATTTATGTTTATGTCACTTTTAAGGTTCTATGGTTTTCCTTTCTAGTGTATCAGCTGCTGTATTGGTTAGCGCTCACTGAACCCCTTGCTATTATATCACCACATCCTTTGTTCTCAGATTTTCAAATTTCATTGTGAAGTCCATAGCTGCAGAGAACTGAAACCATCAATCAAGTTGTAATAGTACTGGTTTTACAGTCATCTGACATGCATTGTAGGTATGGACAATCGACATCTTTAATCTAGATGGCCTCATTCCTGGTTGTAAAATAAAATACATAGGCCCTTGAGATACTGATTAACCCCTTCACGCCTAAGGGTAAAACAAATCTTAAAGCCTAAGTCAAATTGTACAACTTTGACATGTGTTACAAACCATATATATCATCACAACTACTTTGTACATCCAAGTGAATCATACCTTGTTTTTTTTTCAGGAAAAATTGGGCTTTCATTTGGTGGTAAATGGTAATGGATATCTCCTGATTTTTTTTTTTAATGATCAAAAAACTGGCCCAAAATAGTAAAAAAAATATATTTTTTAATTTAGCTGTGTGTTTCTTGTTACTACTATAACCTACCACCAAAAAACAACCCAAAATAAATTTTCCAGCTCTTGACGATCGCAGCGATACCAAATAAGTGCATGTTATTTGTTGTCTGTACCTGTACTCTAGCTCAGAAACAATAATGCGCACTTTGCCTTCCGTTTTTCTACCTAAAACACACTGACACTGATCCCAATTGTAAAAAAAATCCTCACCTTTGACCAAGACCTACATAAAATCTTGATCTAGGTATATTTTATTTTATTTTTTAATATTTATTTATCTGTTTTGCAAACAGTTTGCAAGGAGAGTGAGAAAAAAGAGAGAGAGAGCTACAAAGTACCTCTCTCCTTCAGAGAAAAAAAAAAAAAAAAAAAGGGAGGCGGGCTTCACAGTGACTGCTCACTGTGATAGCCAATCAGAGGCTATCACAGTGATCATGTGACCCGAAATAGAGTGTCCCGGGTCCCAATCGTTAGAACGGGACCCGTGGCTCTCAGTGACACCCTGGTCTTTGTGCTGGGAGCACGCTGTTCGGCGCGCTCCCAGCACAAAGACAGGTATGCACATATGCGGCACAACGGAAAAAAGTCCAGTTCTGTGATGCCGCATATTTGTGTGTTGTCGGCGTCAAGGAGTTAAGCTACAACTCTCCCTGGGAAATGTAAAAAAGTCTGGTCTTGAATAGCTAAATGATCCTTTAAACACAACTATTACGGGAGCACCCTACAAGGTCCTCTTTAGGTGGTCCTAGCTACTGGCTTGGATTGCAAAAGCTGTCCTGTCATGTTAGGTGCTCTCGGGAATGTAGCCACATAGGTCATATGCTCCAAACATGGTGGTCTTGCCCAAAATTGATTTAGTTTTGGCCTAGTTTTTACCCTTATCCAAACTTTTTCACATCATTACTCGTAAAGACCCTTGAATAGAGCTTTATACATCCCCATCCCAGGCCTTACCAACTCCAAGCAAACGTTTACCACCTTTCTTAGTAGCAGCTAAACAGACTGTCACTAGAAGCTGGAAGAAAACCATGATGGCTGTATGAATGCACTGCTTTATAAGAAACTTTCTAGTATCCTTGCTGACTTGTACCCAAAATTTGTCAAGTCTGGGAATCATGGTTTGTATACACATTCACTACCTTGAATCCACCTCACGTGTATTATGATATTGTAACAGGGTTAAGCGACAGTTAAAGCAGAACATGTAGTATGCTGCTGCAAAACATGGGTACAGGATGGTGTGCTAAATAAAATTAGATGCAAAAGTTTGAAATTGGTGCACCACAATAGCAGCATGCTTTGACAGTGATTGGTCTACATAGGAGGAAATTATAGTCATATGATCCTCTAAAGTGTGCCTTCACAAGCAAGCAAAAAATGGCTATCCTGGCAATACATGGGTACCAAATTGGTACTTATATACAATATACAGGCACCAACCAGCCAACTGTTCCAATATGCAGGCGGCAACTTGGCAATATTTTAAATAAACATTTAGCGCTTTTGCTGTGAGTTGCTGACATTAAATGAAAAAAACAGGCAATTGGGACTATATATGTCTATTTTTTATTTTATTTATACCATTATAATATAGTAGTATTAGACTTAATATACTGAAAGAAAGACGCCCTCTGCTTCCTGACTGAGTTGTTTCCTAGGTATTCCTGACTGCAGCTGAGCATGCCACCGAAGCAGCGCCTTGAGAATTTATGCTCTAGATGTCACAGAATGTTGGGTATACCGGTGATGTCATTTTTGAATAAACATTACTATACATGTGCGTGCACTGCTGAAATTTGGGATATGTGACTTTATATGTCGCTTGTTTATTAGTGTTTTAACCAATTTTAATAAATGTAGTAATCAGATTTACATTATGGGTGTTTATTTGCATTCCATTACATGTATGATGCTGATGTATTGCTGCCGAATACTGAGGGAACAATTTGGAGTTGAACAATTGTCCCATGTGCCACAATGTGGAGGAACAACCTGCTTCATACAAATGCTGTTTATGAGTTTTCGTGTGGAAGTCACATACGTTCTAGTAAGTCTCAAAGTACTCTCTCAGAGGAGGACATGTGGTGAGAGTGGATTCATTGAGTTACCTCTCCATACAGTCTATTATGATTCACTCTTTAGAGGATTACTATTCCATGTGGGGTTACCTATCACTTCTACTAAATGTTTTAATCAGTTATACAAAATGGGAAGCATTACTTGCATTCTATTACATGTATGATACTGCTACTGAGAGAGGAGTGAGAGGTCGGGAGGTGAACAATTACCCTATGTACCATGGTGTGGAGGAGCATCTTGCTTGACACAAAAGTGGTTTGTGACTTCTCATGTGGAGGTCGCATTTGCGCTGGTAAGCCTCAGAAAGTTTTGTGTTTATGGAGGATACATGTTGAGAGTGGAATTATCAAGATATCCTGCTTATACAGTTTTGAACTCCCCCTGCAGAGGACTATTGCTTTGCATGCAGTTCACTTTTCAGAGGACTTTTCGTGTTATTAAAGTGGTTCTAAAGGCTCAAGGTTTTTTACCTTTATGCGTTCTATGTATGAAGGTAAAAAACCTTCTCTGTGCAGCATCCCCCCCAAATACTTACCTAAGCCCCCTCTCAATCCAGCAATGTGCACTAGAGTCTCAGCTATCCTGGGACTCCCTCTCATCATTGGCTGAGACAGAAGTGGGAGCTATTGGCTCCCACTGCTGTCAATCACAGTCAGTGAGCCATTGAGGAGAGAGGGGTGGGGCCAAGCTGCAGCTGTGTGTGAGAATGGACACAAGGATCAGTGGGTGCCCCCATAGCAAGCTGCTTGCTGTGGGGGCATCCGACAGGAGGGAGGGGCCAGGAGTGCTGGCGGGGGACCCGAGAAGAGGAGGATCCAGGCTGCTCTGTGCAAAACCACTGAACATAGGTAAGTAAATATAGACATGTTATTTAAAAAAAATCACTTATACTGATTTTATATTTCAAGTGGTAACTGCGCTTGCTCTTCAGAGAGCTGGTTTCAACCTTCAGAGGGATATTAGTTCTTTATTCACTACTGAGCTCGCTTTTTAGAGTGGCATATCACCTTTCAAAGGTTTTTTTGTTTTTCATATTTCCATTACATAATGTATTTGTATTCACAATGGTTATTGAGCTAACTCTTTAGAGTGTTGGTTCACTCTTCTGAGGAATAGGAGTCATACTATTTACTATTGAGCTCACTCTTCAGAGTGTCATTTAACTTTTCTTCACTTTAGTTTTGGTACTTAGTGCTGTACTTCATGAAATATTAGTGAATTGTATAGTGTATCCTATACCTTAGTGCTGGCGGCTTTAATTGTTTAGTTTTATTTTTTGCACAGCAGATTACATTTTCTTTTTAATACCTCTCCATTCTCTGTTATCTGCCATTTGTGTTGGCAATCGGTCTTTGGGGTGACATGCTAGCATGTCATTATGTCCTTCATGTCACTGAATCTTCCCTGTAGCATAGCAAAATTTTGGTATATCATGTCTAAGCCCTCCCATATGCCCTCTTCCTGCATTTTCAATTGAACTATTTTATCTGTGTCTGAGTAGATGTATGCACATGTAAGGGGCTTTTAAAGATGTTGCATGTGCTGAATCTGCTATATGCATTGATATGGTGTTAGTTACATGTTGACCCTGCTTGTCCTCCCATTCTGAAAAGCACTTAGACCTGGAGCGGACTCCACTGGGGGCATAGTTAATAATAAAAAGAAAAAATCAAATCTGTACCTTCAACGCCACCAATGCCTTTCTGGCCTTGCATTAGTGTAGGACTCTGTGCCATCCTAAGAAGGTCTTTCAAGAGTCCTGTGTCTTGTCCCTGGTCCACCTTGGATGTGGTGGCATTGTTGGTAGCTTTGCAAGTTGTATTAAAGTGTTACTAAACCCACAACAGTAAAATCAGTCTGTATATGCAGTAAAGCATACTTGTTATATTCACTGTGGAAAGGGGTTTATCCTCTGCACTGTGTAAAAAGGCTGTTTGATCCTGTCTTCTCTGCTCCTCCTATTGTTCAAATGTCCACGTCTTATCTCCTTATAACTCATAGCCATTCTGCACATGCTCAGGTTAAAGTGTATTGCTAGAGAGTTTTTTTTTTTTTCTTGGGAGAGTGCATGTGGTCAGTACAGGGCCAATCAGCACTGTCCAGACAGCGGTCAGGGATTTTGCATCCTCCTACAGCAGAAAGAAAACTCCTCCTACAAGCTTTACCAGTGCTCTGCTGAACACTGACAGAAGTCAAAAGACTGCTCTAGCTGCTGATGAGAAAAGGTATTTAGCAGTTTATATTTACTAAAATAATTGCACTTCCATGTTCTGTGTACTGTAGAGAGACCAGATATAGTGAATGCAGGGTCCGGGGTTTAGTAACACTTTAAGTCCCGACTTTCTTATCTTGCATGGGAGTTAATATAGGTCGAGGTTAGGCTTTACAGGATAGGTAGCAAAGCGATCAAAATGTGTGAAAAATATAGATGGATTCATGTAGGTATCCTGTACCTTGAAATGAGGCACAGGAGGCAATTAGACAGGGCCTAATGTCCTGCTATAAGAATGGTCCAATGAGATGATTTTAGTGTAAAAAAAACAGCAGACAGAATATGCAGCAGCTATAGATGACAACCGATCAGCCTCTAACTCTTATTTTCAAAGCAGTAAATTCCCTCCAAAGTCTTTTCTTTGCCCTTAAAAAAAAAAAAAAAAAAAAAAAAATACTTACGGGTGTGGTTTCATTTCTATATAGTTTTTTTGGAATAAAACCATCCTTGCCGTTAAGCTCTGCCTTGTACCAATTTTGATCACACTCTTCATTCAAAACCTGAAAGTAGGTCACACATACAAAATTATTAGTGAAAGCCACTATCTCATCAAACATCATTGTAAAACAGAAGATACAATGTACTGATTTAAAAGCAGAACTACTCAACTAAATAAAAGACCTACATTTGACTAGAATAATGTATATATGTTTAACCACTTGCCCTCTGGAAGATTTACCCCCATTCATGACCAGGTCATTTTTTGCTGTTCGGCACTGCACTATTTCAGCTGGCAATTGAGCAGTCGTGCAATGCTGTACCCAGACAATGTCCTTTTTTTCTACACAAATAAGAGCTTTCTTTTGGTGGTATTTGATCACCTCTGCGGTTTTTACTTTTTCCACTATAAACAAAAAAAGACCGAAAATTTTAAAAAAGAACCCCCGATATTTTTCACTTTTGTTTATAAAAAATATCCAATAAACTCAAAGTTAGTCATAAATTTAGGACAAAATGTATCCTGCTACATTTCTTTGGTAAAAAAAATCCAATTACATGTATATTAACCGGACTTGAATATTAATTCAAGTCCGGACACTTTTACCTCCTTCCTGTACAGGCCAATTTTCAGCTTTCAGCGCTGTCACACTTTGAATGACAATTGAGCGGTCATGCAAGACTGTACCCAAATGAATTTTTTAGCATTTTCTTGAGACAGATAAAGCTTTATTTTGGTGGTATTTATTCTCCACTGGGATTTTAATTTTTTTTGCCATATAAATTAAAATATCCACATTTTTTTTTTTAAAAAGTGTTTTTTTTTTATAAAATTTTGCAAACAAATAATATTTCATCATAAATCTTGACCAAAATTTATTTAGTTATTTTTGTCACAGGGTTTTGAAAAAAAAAACAACTATTTTTGTTTTTTTTCTTCGTTTTCCAAAAACGTTGTGGCAACAAAGGAGATTTGCAAAATACTCACCATGCCTCTGAGCAAATACCTTGGAGTGTTTACTTTCCAAAAAGGGGTCATTTGGAGGGGGGGGGGGGGGGGGGGGGGGGGTGCTTCTACTATCCTGGCATTTCAGGGCCAACATTAGAAGCTTATGCCACACATCACACACTCTTGAAGACCAAGCCTTTTCTGACACTTTTTGATCACATAAAAAAACTTTTTTTTTTTTTGCTAGAAAATTACTTTCAACCCACAAACATTATATATTTTTTTTAAAGCAGAGGCCCTAGAGAATAAAACGGTGCGTGTTGAAATTTTTTATATGTCACCCAGTATTTGCACAGCGATTTTTCAAATGCAAATCTTTTTGGGAAAGATACACTTTTTAGAATTTTAATGCACAAATATATTGTCCAATTGTTTGACAAATAATAAAAGATGATGTTACGCCGAGTAAATGGATACCAAACATGACATGCTTTAAAATTGCGCATGCCCGTGAAATGGCAACAAAGTACATACATTTTTAATATCAAAAGGGAACACTTTAAAAGCCTTTACAGGTCACCAATTTATATTTACACAGGAGGTCTAGTTCTATAATTACTGCCCTTGATCTGACGTTCGTGGTGATACCTCACATGCATGGTGCAATCTCTGTTTACATACTGACACAGGACCAAAGCTTGTGTTCGGCTTTGCACACGAGCACGGAAGGGGGGAGGGGCAGGGGGATTTTTTTTTTTTTTTTTTTTTTACACTGCCCCTTTTTTTTTTTTAATCACTTTTACTGTTAACACAGGGAATGTAAATATCCCCTATGATAGCAATAGGCAGTGACAGGTATTCTTTTCTGAGAAATCTGGGGTCTTTTAGACTCTAGATATCTCCTCTGCCCTTAAAGCATCTGATCAAACCAAGATCGGTGCGATCAAATGCTTTCCGAATTTAAAAATGGCATAGTTAAAGTCCGGGCGAAACCAAAATGATGAAATGCTCGTAGCTTCCGGTCTCTTAGACCATAGAGATGATTGGAGCCATTCTGGTCTCTGGGACAGAAGAGCCCAAGAAAACTGTGGAAGGAAGCAAGGGGGGGGGGGGGTTCAGCAGCTAATTGGCCACTAGGATTGTTTTAACATAAAAGCTGACCACCAGCTTAAAAAAAAAAAAAAACGACACCAGGATGATGCCTGTAGCTGCAGTCATCATCCCAGTATAACGACTCAAAGTCCGGCAATGTAGAAGTACGTGGATGGTCCATGTTAAGCATACATGAGCAGAGAACATGGGGAGTCCAAATATACTGAATGAGGAAAGAACAAAGAGAGGGCGCACGGGCCTAGTGCATTACCATAAAAAATGTTTAAAAAAAAAAAATAGGTGTTGTACTCACAAACGACAATGTAGTCAAGGCACATCATAAAGAACAGCTGGGTCAACACCGCGCTGAGTGACAGTCCGCAATAGGGAGTGTAGACATCCAATAGGCTGACGCGTTTCGAGGACTTGCAAGGAAGAGGCAAGTCCTCGAAACTCGTACTAGCGATCACATGATCACCAGGTCCCGTTCACCAGGATCTTCATTCCGCTGTGCCCGCCGGACACAGCAGTTGCGCAGCGCCCCCCGTGTTAGTACAGCCAGAACGACGTACCCATACGTCGATTTGCCTGTAGCCCCCCCCCCCCCCCGTCCACAGTACATTGCGGGTGGACGGGAGGGAATTGGTTAAACTAGTTTCTCACTGTTTCTTTGTAACAAACTCCTGTATAGCCCTACGTAGCAAGTCTCAGACTGGGAGAGGAAGGAACAGCAGTGCTACACAGTGCTGTCAGCGTCAATATAACACAAAGAGCTTATAGACTGAGCAAAGGGATGGCCTCATCATAAGCTATCCAATCACAGGCCAAGGCAGGTCCATATCCTAGATGTATTGCTTTAAAGCACCTACAAAAGGAAAGAACAAACATGTAATATATTGCATCTTGTATAGCTTGTGATTAAACAAGCAATCAGTGCTCACGTACACAGCATCCAAAGAGTTCACAAAACAGGTGGATGGATGGAAATCCGTCATGAGCATACAAAGTAAACAGAGCAGGACGCCAGATTAGTGTATGGTTAAAAACAACACTTTTAATTCCTTTTTCTCCTTTTTATCTGAAATACCTGTAGACTGCTCCAGGTGTCGGAGTTTTGGTGCGATATACAGATCACCGCAATCTGGATGGACTGATAGGGCTGCAATGCACAAGCAGGGACCCACTGCAAGATGATAGATTGGCAGCACCTCTCCTCTCACTCATGTCACTAACAGGCAGGCAGACAGGAGATATATATCAGGCTTGGGGGGGGGGAGGTGTGAGGGGGGCACAACGCATTTCCGAGGCCCTGCCCCTTTTCAAGCTGGCTAGCACAGGAAAAGGATGGAATTAAAGAGCTGTCAGAGATTGGAGTGGGCGGAGCCAGCCAGGAAACTGCTAATGGCAAGGGAACAACAAATGAGTGCGGAATATCAATGTTAAGCGTGACTGAGGGGTAAGAGGGTAAGACCCAAGACTAAATAAAAGGTCTTGCAGCTGTTGGATCGAGTCCAACCTTTCAAGGGAGGTAACTTGTAGTAACAAGGCAAAGAAAAAAAAACAAATAGCAAGAATACAATAAAATAGCAACATGTAAACAATTAACATGTTGTAAACAGATCTACCGCACATGTAAAATATTCAATATTGAAAACAAACTAACAAAACAATAAATGAACAATAAAACACTAGTGTATGTACCCTCAGGTAAATATATATCCACGCACAGAAGTTACAAATTCTTAACATAGATTTTTATCAATATTGTGCATATAAAAAATACGTACATCATAAAAGAAAAGGAGAACATTAGATACATAAAATTCCAAAAGCTTAAAACAACCCAGGATATTATATAACCGTACTAATCCCAAATTCTTCATTCACACCTTTGGGTGCCAAGGTGTTCAGGGAAAATAAGCAAAGTCTCCCTACTGCAAATCCTCTGGAACCTCTCCTCTGCAGAGTCACAAAGTGGATTAAACTCCACTACCCAGACTCTTGGACCTTCTGTGGATTTATCATGATGAGTGAGGAAGCGTCTGGAAACACTGTGGTCATCCCCGCCCTCCTCAATGAACCTCCTGTGCTCCCCAAAATGGGTCCTTGTACGCACCGTGAGGCCCATGTAGAGGAGGCCACAGGTGCAGGACATGCAATAGACCACGTGTTTAGTGGAACATGTGTACAGACCAGGGGCGGACTGACCATTCGAGCACTCGGGCACTGCCCGAGTGCCCGGGGGGGTCAGTAGGGGGCCCCATGATATGTTCCTGGTACCTTTTTCATAGGCTTTTTTGAGTGTGGGCAAGGACACGGGGGCCCCATGATCCCCCATTGCCCGGGGGCCCCATGAGTTGTCAGTCCGCCCCTGGTAGAGACTGTTTATAGAAGAGATCTTTCCGGAGGAATCATGGAATGTCTTTTGACGATGTTGTACATACTGGCACATTTTGTGAGCTGTCATATTGCGCCACCTCCCTGACACCTGGAACAGTCTACAGCAGTGTTTCTCAACCTTTTTCCATTTGGGGCGCCCTTGAAAAGTATTTTCAGTCACAAGGCACCCCTGTCCAAGGCGTGGTTCATGTTACTGTGTGTTGTGAAACGCACGCAAAATCACGCTTATTCCTGATCTGCAGACAAATGCTCTGCTCTTTAGGTGTGCCATGAATTCTAATGGTACCAAATACATTGGCAAACCCAGGTGTTTTTGGTGTGGTGCAATTTAAAAAAAAAAAAAGGATCAGGGACATCTTTCCCTGCATTTCTGCAGGAAGGGCAGCCAATTGAAATGAATGGGCTGCCCTACACGCAGCCACACAGATGATGTGAATGAAAGGCTTGTTCACCTGTGAAGTTGGAGGGTGGTAAAACCATGCAGTTTAGCTGCTTTTACCACCCCCAACTACTTCCCCTTAGCTACAGAATCAGTAGCTGGGGGTGTACGCATGCTGTGGCCGCAACTGGAAGTATACCTCCAGGTGAATGGGGTTGCACTACAACCACATGTGTTGTGGT